ATGATCGGCAAATGATCGGCAAATGATCGGCAAAATGATCAACAAATGTGATAATATGAAGTATGTCCACCCTGCTCATTAGAGGTGTGCGAAATTCTCTTGAGAAAATCTTTGGACAAGATCCAATGGGCAGCTTATAGATGGCACGTGATTAAATGCTTTTTTTTATGGCAGTTAATTAACAATGATCACATTATTTTTAAAATATATCGTATAACTAACCTTTTCACCAAAAAAAAACAAAAAAAAATATTTTCAGGTAATGACTTTCTTTCTTTTATTGTACGGCTAATGATGCATAATATGTTCGGAATATTTACATGAAGATTTTTTAAAAAGCGTAACAGTCTCTGAGGCCAAATTTCATTGAGAAATTTTTTATTTTATTTTTCCAATATGTTTGAATTTCAAAGTCCTAATCAATCTCCCTATTGCATATCATATCAATAAATTATAGGGATGGACGAAAATATGGGGCCTTTGCAATAGAAAGGGGAGAAACTGCCGGAAAAATAAAAAATTAGTTAATGCTAAATTTGAACATATTTGACATATAAACATAAAATTGATTTTCCCGACAGTTTCCCCCCTTTCTATTGCAAAGGCCCCATATCCTTTATTTTTTTTTAAAAAAAAAAATACATTCGCGTAGGCCAGTGGATTGGTATCACATGATAAACAAATAAAATTATAAATAAAACACGTCCTCGAACCTATCCTAGAAATTTTTTTTTCGTGAAGATGGAGTTTTATAATGTATTTATAAGGAGTCGAAAAGATTATGGTAAATCGAGATATTCGGCATCAAGTATGTGAATTATTATTTATTAAAAAGAAAATAAAAATAAAGTATAAATAATAATAAAAATCGTTACTGAAAAATCTGATATTTATTAATTCCCATTTTTTTTAGGTTTTAGTGATGATAGATAGTACTTCGGATATCTCTCTTTCGAACAACGAAACGCCATGAAAGATGATATAATAACTTCTACCTCTCTATCTAACTACGAAACGCCATTGGAAAACGTTCCAATTACATAAAAAATTACTGAAGATTTTATCAAGATCCGAGATAATAATGAATTCGATAGTGAGGATTATAATTCTGATTAAACGATTCAAATAATTTAGACCGTTTAATCAACCCTCCGACAAATCATCAGAACAATTTTTAATTAAAAATAATTTAGAACGTCACATTCGGAATGACCATACAGGAAAACAACCATTAATTATTCTCGGACCAAACGAACTAGAATTGAAAGAGGTTTTGATAACTTCGGAATCCAATTATGATGATGCTATCAGTGAAGGTTATAGTTCAAATTGTAACTATTCAGTCGACGTGTATCACGATCAAAATGATTTTGATCACCCCTCAAAACAAACCACATTCATTCCTTTGTATAAGGATGTTTTCAATAAAAATAATCTGAAACGGCACATTCGACATCATCATGCAAATGAAGAATATTTTATTTGTTTCGAACAAAAATGTCATGGTATGAGATTATCTTCGCATGATTTGTTAGCAAGTCACCAAAAAGACGTTCATGAAAGTCTAATTTACTATGTTTGAATGTGGCATAAAGTTACATTTCATTTAAACGGTTTAAATTTCATCAAAAGATGAAAGGACATGAAGGAACTGGAACTCTTTCAAGGGAAGATACAGTTCACAAAATCATTCAAGTGTAAATCGTGTACGAAAGCGTATATATAGATGTTCTAAGCCGGGATGTGATAATTCATTCTACGAACTTTTAGATTATAATAATCATCTACAGATAGAAAGCCTCAGAAAATTCATTATTGTGATAAAGTTAGATGCGATTTGTACTTCACTAATCAACATAGCTTACGGAATCATGTTCGGTTTGGACATTCCAAAGAAGTCATTAAGAGAACTTATAAATGTGAGAAATCTGAAAGTTATAGATCATTCGACACGTAAATAAATATCAATTGCAAATAAATAAAATATAAAAAAAAAGGAAATTATTCTCACTTATTTTAAGGGAGTGTTGTTAATAAGACAGGGAGTTAAATATTTTCGAAACTTAAGATATCTTGTCCAACAATTGGCCGGATCTTCAGGTAACATCTATTGCCAAGCAGTATCCAAAATTCGCAGTATCGGATAATTCTATTGAACATTGCGCGGGATATTTCTGTATCCGAATAATAAAAAAAGAAATAATGATAAATTAAATTCATATTTTTTTATTATTTTTTTAAAAAAACAAAAAAACTTTTATCATAAATTAAATAAAAATTTTGTGGTGATGATAGTGGAGTAGAAGGAGAAGAAGAAACATCATCTAAAAAATAATTAAAAAAAAAAATAATAAAGATCAATTAATTAATAAATTCATACTATTTTTTTTTTTTCTCTAAAAAAGAAAAATATAAATAAATTTTTTACTTGTGATAAAAATAACATTAGTTGAGATTTAATATCTGATAACATTTAAGAAACATTTATTTAATAAGAAAAAAAATAGTAAATAAATCATCAAATCTACTATAAAATCAGAAAATGTAAAAAAAATAAAAGGATTTCTTTGATTTTCTTTTGAGAAGTTAAAGCTTTGAATTGATTAGTTCTGATTAGATTATAAATCAATTCATACTAATCCAAAATTTTCAGTTCAATTCATATTATAAAATATAAAAAAATCGATTTATATTAAACTAATCTAAAAATTATGAATGGTCTGATCTGAAATAAAAATTTTTAGATAAATCTGAAAAATTTAGGTTATTAAATCCAAATAAAAAGATATTTTTGAAAGTCTAAGCATTATATTTATTAGTTAATTTTCTATTAAAAGTTATTTCTAATAGTTCAAATATAAGTTTTATTAATTATTTTTCTAATAAAACTTATTTCTGATAATTTATATACAACTTTTAGTTTTTAATATTTTTTTAATAAAAGTTATCTTTAATAATTCTAATAAAATATTTATTAATTTTTTAAATAAAATTTATCTTAAATTACTTTATTAGTTTATAATAAATAACATTTTTTTAGAAATACATTTTTCCTAAATTGAAACTTTAGATTAATTTAATTCAGATTTTTTTTATTCAAATTAATTTTTTTTGGTTTTGATTTTACAATTTAAATTAATAAAACTAATTAAATTAAAAAATTTTCAGATTGATTTGATTTTTAAAATTTTATTAAAAGATAATCTTTAATTAAATCTATAATATTATTGATTTTATTGAAGTAAATATACTAAAAACAAAGTAATATATTCAATATAAAATACCAAATTATATATATATAATGTAATAAATTATACAAAATTATGCATTTATAATTTTAGCTAAAATTATTATAACTAGAAAATGAAAACTGTTGCTAAAGTTTGAAGCAAGTATAATAAAAATATCCAATTATATATTGATTTAATTTTTAAGTAGAAGGAATATAGGATATCATACTAAAAATTGTAAAATATTTTATTACAAATCAAATTTAACATATAATATAAAAGTTTTATAGTAAAAAAGTATAAAACTTTAAAAAATTTTTTTTTGAGTTAATATTAAATTACTACTTATTTTACTAAAAAAATAATATTTAGCTTATAAAATAAAAATATAATTTTTTTAGAGTTTTGTATCTTTTTACTGTAAGTGCCTATATTAGTTTTATTGTTAAAAGAAATAAAATTTATCATTATGATAGATTTTTTAGATAATTGATATTATTTATTACTTAATATATTTTTGTAAATAGAAAACTTTATTTAACATTTACATTTAAAATTGGTAATCAAATATTATATATATTAATATTACTTGAAAATAAATATATCTTGAATTAAAATATTAAATAATTTCAAAAATTAGTAAAGCTAAATAATTTGAAATATGTTTTTAAATTTTGTAATGCTTTTTAAATGCATCAACAAAAATATTTGTAAAATAATTAATACTAACTTTTTTTACTTGTAATTATAATTTATTTCTTCTTCTAATAATAAATATATTATTTCAGATTTTAATAATATATATCTCTTTTATATAAAAGATTATACAGTTGCTTTCAAAAGTAATGTATCACCTAATATTTTAACTTTAAAAGCTTATAAGTAATTATCTACCTATACTAAAAATATGATTTTAATTCTTAAATCTTAGAGAATAATTAATAAAAATTTGAAATATGATTATTAATACCAGTTTTACGCAATTTTATGATCAATATAAATATTTTTATTTAATAAAATTTCATTTTTCAATAGGTCAGCTACTAAAAAACTGATATTGAATTCTAATTTTCTTTAATACAAAGATTCTAACAAGTTATAAATTCGACAAGATTAGATAATTTTTTTTAGACATAATAATATAATTTTATTAATTTTAAAATATAAGAAATCAAATAATACAAAGTAGAAAACCAAACTATTATTTATATGATTCAGTTATAAAAAAATTATTGTCTAAAGGCATTTAAAAATCTTATAAAAGATCAGATCTTTCCAAAACAATGTTCAGTAATAATCTGGTCATTTGACTATTTAAATAATCTTTGTTATAATCAGTATTTGTCATTTTGTAAATGATCTAAATAACAAATGATAAATGATCAAGATTCTTTAAGGTTATTTAAATCATTTGTCATTTAGTTATTTGCTTTACAAAAAATTTAGCAATACTTTTAAAAAATCGCAAATTCTTAGCAAAACTCTAGAGAATTCTCAATTTTATAAAAATTTTGCAATTTTATCTTTTAACGATAAAAAATTGTTCTAAAGAATAATAAAAGGATCATTCCAGTAGAATGATAGAAGAATCATTTTAAAGGAATGATTAAAAGCATTATTTCTCAAGAATGATAAAAGATTATTCTAAAGGAATAATAAAAAAAATCATTTCAATAGGAATGATAATATATCATTTCTTAAAAACAATAAAAGGTTGTTTTAAAGAAAACTATAAAAAATCGTTCAAATAGAACAATACTACATCATTCTAAAAAAACGATACAAAAAATTATTCCAATAGAATGATATATCAGAATGATAAAAAAATCGTTTCAATAGGATGATAAAAATTGTTCTAAAGAAATAATACAAAAAAATCATTCTAATAGAATAATAAATTATCATTTTATTGGAATAATGAAAAAGATTATTTCTTAAGAATAATAAAGGTTATTCTAAAGGAAAAATAAAAAAATCATTCTAATAGAATGATATTATATCATTCTAAAAAAATGATACAAAAAATCATTCCAATAGAATGATAAAAATTATTCTAAAAGAATGATATAAAAAATCATTTCAATAGGATAATAAAGATTATTTTAAAGAAACAATACAAAAAAATCATTCCTTAAGAATGATAAAAGATCATTCTAAAAAATGATAAAAAAAATTGTTCTATTTTAAAGGAATAATACAAAAAATCATTCCAATAAAAATGATAAAAAAAAATTATTCATTAAGAATAATAAAAGATTGTTCTAAAGAAACGATTCAAAAAAATCATTCCAGAAAAATGATATTTTATCATTCTAAAGAAATGATATAAAAAAATCATTTCTTAAGAATAATACTATATTATTCTATCAGAATGATAAAAAAATTGTTCTTTAAGAATGATAAAAAAATCATTCCTTAAAGATTGTTCTAAAGAAATGATACAAAAAATTATTCTAATAGAAATAGTAATATAGTCAACTCTTTATAAATGTATCCTCTATAAATACACTTTCTCTATAAATGCATCCTTTTGCTTAGTTCTGAGCTAAGACTTAATGCTAATTGTACTTCTTTTATATTCTAACAGTGCAATGATTTTTTAAGTCCGCTTATATGAAACTTTTTTCTATAAATACATATCACATGACCTATAAGTTTTTGATATGTATCCAAAACTTATAATATGTGTAACACATGTAGTACATGCAGTTCAATTAATATTGACGCAATTTTTGCTACAAACAATGTCTAAAAAAAACTACTTTAATTGACATGCAGAAGTATGACTTTTGTCTATATGGGGTGAGTGTTGGAAAAAAGAACCAAATTGACAAAAATTTTTTTTTTGAAATAACAAATGATTTGGTGGATGGTAAGGCTCTGATTTGAAACATTCATAGAGCAGTCTATAAGGATTTGCTAGTTTGCAGTTAGTATAATCTTTGAATTCGTAGCCAGAAATACAACAGTTGCAACAATATTTGTTCGATGGTTCTATCCAGTATAGAGTTTTTTCTTTGAATTTCTGAGACTGCGTCGCCATAGCATCAAGGTCTTTTAGTGATGCAAAATTAATAAATACGTAGGGTCTAAGTCTATATTATTGATCACGTGAAATAAAACACATTCTAGCTTTGATATGTGCAAGAAAATCTCCTAATTGTTGTTGATCAGTATTAAAAGAAAGACCAGTTAGTTTTAGTTGAGATCAATTGGTTCTATTCTAAATGCAGTTTCAAGAAATTTAATGGACCAAAGTTCATTATAAAAGGGCTTGATGATGTCAGCATTTTTGAAAAAAATAAATACAATCTGCCAGGGGTCTCAGACAATCATGGAGAATTTGGTGATC